GATGCTGTCTTGTTACTGGTTATCTGTGTGGGGCGAAGTGGAAGCTGGGAGAAAGAGAACTAATATGATAGATGCCAACATAAAAGCTGAAAGTGGTCTTGACAGGATGGGATGTTATTTTGAAAACAATTAGAAATTTGGTTGTTGTTTTTTTTAACAATTCCAGAAGTGCAGGACTCAAGGAACTTGCTAGGGCATCAGTCTGTGTGAGGAAGTGATGAAAGACTTAGTAGATCACAAAATACGAACAATAGTGCTATGTGATTATTGGAAAAAGAGAAAACAAACCACAAACCTATTGCTTTTTTAGGTTGTATTAATTAAAATAGTCCAAACTTGAAAATCAGTTTTGAGATAATCCAGTCCTCACCTGATTAGGAAATACAGATTCATGAGAAAGACTACAGGGTACAGTCCAGAAAAGTTATAACTGCACTTTGGGCTGGTCAAGGATATGTGTGCTGGTGGGCTTAATTTGGGGCTCTACATTTTGGGAGAAGAGCTAGAGTATGTCAAAAGCAGTAGTGTCCAGATTGCTGAGGGATCTGGGTACCGGGATATTTCCATAGTGATGGGAGGAATTGAGGTGGTTTAATCTGTAGGGCAGGAGGGGCAAAGGATAAGAGAGTCCACGATAGTCACCTGCAAATAAACAGTTAGTGGATGTCTTTAAGCAGAGAACTGAAGAGGATGAAAAAAATGGCAAAACAGCATAAGGAAAAAGTTGAAAGAAGCATGCAAACAAGAGAAGGAACCAGGTTCTCCATGTGCTGGACCACGATGCCACCATAGATCTAAGATCTCCCCTCACCAAGCCCTGCCCTCAGCACCAAGGTCCTGGTTGCTCGTGTGTTCCCCACCCTGGCCCTGACTTAACCCTGCGGTTACTGAGGGCTCACTGTGGGCCAAACTCTGTGCTAAGTACTTCACCTATATTATGTCGTTTAATCCTTCCAACACTGTGAGGTAATGTTTTTACTATCACTTGCATTTTATACATAAGGAAACCAAGGCTTAGACAGGTTGAATAACTTGCCTCAGTAAGTGGCAAAACTAGGACTCAAATCCAGATCTTATTGGTTCCAAAGTAGATGCTCTATACTCTCTTCCCTGTACCTTTGCATTTTTTATTTAGTCATTTTATTTAGTAAATCTAGTCTTTATCGAGTGCTTACTGTGTGTCGGGCAGACTGTTAACTAAGCACAGGATTTACAGTGCAGAACCTAGATTTGTCTTCTATGTCTTCACTCTAGTGAAAGAAACAACTGAAATTAATAGAAACCACACATGTGGTAAGTGTTCTGAGGGGACAGAGCAGATGCTTGGAGAACACTCAGCAGGATTACCTGGGACTGGGATACCTTACCCTGCCACCACTTCCCCTTTACCAGGAACCCCCGTTCCCATCCTTCTGGGTCTCACATTCGATGTATTCTCTTTGAAGAAACAGTGTCAGGTGTACAGTAAGTGCTTAACAAACACAAACATTTGTGTGTTTTTCATTTTTATTTATTTTTATGATAGTATTGTTTTAAAATTGTACAGTGTTTTCTCAACTTGCTAAGAAGATGGATGTTTATTTTCACCAATGTGTCATTTCACATTATTGAATATTATGGGCATTGTGATTACATTTTAGTAAAAGCAAACAAGTAAGAAAACCCTTATATATGTATGTCAATTATTGTATCTATTTGGATAAACAAGGATCAAAGTATAGAAGAATATACTCCAGGCTTTTAGCAGGGAACAAATGGTCAGCTTTGGCTTTCTGCATCTTCGTGCTAATAGATACTCGTGGAATGGATGAATGAGGACTGTTAATAATGGTTAAATGAATGCGCCTATAAGGTAGTGAGCATTCACTGACCTTGGAGGACTGAGTGGATACCACACGGCTCAAATCATACACCCTTTTGTTTGTGTTTTACTTCAGCTAAATTTTGACATCTGGTTAACCTAGATGGTTTCATAAATGAATTAAAAACCAAGAGAGCATAACTAATCAATTCCTGTCCTGTATCCAACTTGCCTAATAGATTTTTATGGCATAATTTCGTCTTCTGCAAATTAGGAGTAATAGACATTCTGGAAGGATAACACAATTAGACTGGTCAAAAGGTATTTATAATAATATACCAAAGAGTTGCCGAGTATAAGTGAAAACTCTCTAAGTTTTCTTTTGTGACATCCATGCCAACTGATTGTGCGCCAGAAAAATCTGTGCGTTATAAAGCACTGCTATGATCCATTTTAAAGGCAAACGTATTTGAACAAATGTCACCCTTCTCCTATAACCCTTAGAATTCAACCTTCCTCCATTCTGGGTCTGGATGGTAAGTAGGGATCTGGTGGAGGAAGGGCCCGGTCCCAGGCTGTTCCTACTATAGAAGCTTTTTCATGAGTTTGCATAGTGGCCAGACTGTGTCTTTGGACTCCTTATACACAATGCTTGAGTAAGTAGAACAATTTAGGAATAAACTCAATATTCAAAAGAAACTTCAGAGGATTGTAGCCCAAGCACACAGATTTCTATAGGCCCACACCAATTGGACAAGTAAGGCCTGGATTTTATCTGAGATGACCTTTGGAGATAAAGGGAAAGGCAAATGTTTTCCAAAGCCATATAAGTTTTTCACACAGACTACACTTACACTGCTTTCTACTTCTCCCTAATAGTAGAGTATAGCTGTAGCCTCACCCCATGACACTATGATGGCCTTCTTTCTCTTATCTTTAATTTGACCTCTGTTGCATTTGCTGATACTTGGCTTATGGCCGTTGGCCTTTTTCTCCAGGCAAGAAATCAATGAAGCTAAAAGAAAGGAAGACTGAGGTACCTAAGTGCTTTCCCCCAAGGCCCCTTTTCATCTCCCTTCTCAACAGTGCCACCCCCAGTAGTCAAGTTGTATATTCTTCTTAATAAGCTTATCTTGATTCAATTTTTTAATCTATGAGTATATAATGAAGGTAATGATGGCATCTGACATACATGGTTATTTTGAGGATTTCATAAGATAATTAATGTAAAATGCTTAGAACATTGCCTCGAACAGGGATCACTCATTAAATCATAGCTATAATGAATATTAGCAGTATTAATACCATTCAGTTATCAGTTCACATTTATTTTGTCTTAATAAAGATTAGGATACCTTTAGAATTCTGACAGATGTGAAGAAATGCAAAGATAAGAAACCATTAATCTCCCTTATAGTTGTGTTAAAGAAAATTGCACAGGCAGCCCAAGTTTCACTCCCTATTCATATGCACTAGTCAAGTAGAGAATTACTATATTAGATGCAGCACTGGAAACCTGAAGTGGTGCGATATCCTTGCCTTTTTATTTGTGTGGATAGAGCTCTTTAACACATTCTCTCAGAATGGCAAAAGCATCATTTTCTCTTTTTTATCTCTTCCTGTTTCCCTTTCATGTATACTTATTCTCCATAACGGAAATTATTCAGCTCTTCTCAGCACAGGCCTAGCACACACAAACCCAGCTCTGAAGGTCACAGGCCCAAGATGGAAACAATCCAGCTTTTTCTATCTGGAGTATTGGGATCTGGGATAGATTGCAGAAGGCTAGAACTTGGCTAGATCAAAGCTTTGTATCACATGGGCTGTTTAAATATTCATACAGCCTCTTCTGGCAGCTAACAGGACTGCAAACTTTGCCCAGGAAAACAATAACAACAATAGAGAAGATAATTACTGATTTTTATAGTATTCTAAAATTGCTGCTGTGAACTAAAAACATAAGCGTTGATTTTGGTTTAATCTCTTAGGCAAATGTATTTTTTATTCAACTCAGGACAATAGGCAAGTGGTTATATGCACCTCAAGCATTTTTCTGAGTATATCTATTTTCAGTATAAGATACTCACTGATATTAATACCAAAAAAATATATTGCACTGTCAAAGCCATTTCTTTTATCATTACTTTACTAATGACTTGAAATAATAACTGACACATTCCCTTTGCAGTCAACTGATTTGCTTATATGGTAATATAGGATTTAAATGATAAGCAACTGAACTATAGAATAAATCAGATTAGGGGAAGGACCACGATATTTTTAAGCATAATGGTCACAATTTGAAGACATTTCATTCAATGCAATCATTTGGCACTGTATGTTCTTCATTAGCATATGTAAAGATACCAAAAATATAGGTATCCATTGTTTTGTTTTGTTTTTGGCTGATATTTCCCCCTTCATAATTAAGGTTTTTTGGTTGTCCTAATTCTGGTTGGTAAAATTTACTTAATTTCACAATTTCAGATAGCAACATAAAAGCAAATGTTGGCACTGCATTGAACCTTAAATTCTTTTTTTAAAGTGACATCTACTTAGTAAAAATCTACTCCATTTTATTTTTTATAGCTATATTCACAAGTTCTGATTTTATCAAGTATGCATCCTCTTAACATGGTATATAAAAATGTAAACATTAAGAACACTTTTCGAGGGCCGGCCGAGTGGCTCAGTTGGTTAAGAGCTCGCTCAAGAGTTTGAGCTCTGAGCAACAGCGGTTCAAGTCCAGTCTGAGCTGAGCAGCTGCTGAGCTGCCAACAGGTAGCAGGATGGCTCAGCTTAAAAAAAAAAAATCACAAGAAAAAAAAGAACACTTCTCTATCAGTGTTCCCCTTCTAACAGTAATGATCTAAAATGGAAATTTATATAAAACAAGAATAGGTACATTAAAAGTTCAAAAAAAGGTCACTTAGACTGTGCTGTGTTCCAAAATGATTAATATATTCCATAAGAATTAGCCGTTAGTAAATATCAGGTAAGTCAAATTAAATAATCATTACTCTTATATTTATTTTATGAATCTTCCTTCAAAAAATTTATAGAGTTAATTATTGAACTCAATAGGATATGTATGTCTGTAAATATTTATATACATATATATATGTAATACATACACATATATAAAGTGTATATCAAGGAAATGCCTTAGTGAAAATCATATTTTTATTTAATATTTCAGATGTACATTACCAATACAATCAAAGCCAAAGGAACAAGACTTGCTAAGCCCGTTCTGTGCTTGGGCTTAATGTGTTTGGCCTTTCTTACTGGACTCAACAGAGTAGCAGAATATCGAAATCATTGGTCAGATGTGATAGCAGGCTTTCTGGTTGGAATATCTATAGCAGTATTTCTGGTAAGTACAAATTTACTTAGATATCACTAAGTTTTTAACTTGTATAACTACCTATAGGAAAATACACGTGTGAATCACTGCATTTGCCTAAATGTGACATATGAAATGATCATTCATTTCTTCCTCTTCCTTCATTTGTTTCACCTAAACTCAGGTTTAGGTATGAAAGAAATGTAAATTCCACATGTACAAGGTGAACAAAATATTTTTATATGAAATGGAACAGGGCTAAAAACATTCATTTCTCCATGGACAGTTTTTATGACTGGGTTGCATGGATATTTAAAATTTTTTCTTAGGGCACTTTGCACCCTGGAGTATCTAGAGCACTCCAGAATAACCTAGTGCTTCAGCACAGTACCCTCCTATAGCCACATGTCACATCCCTAGTGCTCACTAACAGGTAAACCTCACTTGTGAGATGAACCAGTTTCCTTCAGTAGCTAAAACTCCATGTGTTACCAAGACAGTGATGCCTCCAGTCAGATTTTGCCAAGTAATGAAGAGTATGCATAGTGATTTCTCAGGAAGTAAGAATGCTACTACGATTTTTAAGATTTCCTTGGGGTGGCGATCCAAGATGCTGGGTACATAAACCCTGTGCTTGCCTCCTCCTGTAAAAATTACAACCAAATTATAGGACAGTTAACCTGGAGAACTACCTGAGGTCTAGCTGAACAGAAGTTTTGTAACTAAGGATATAAAGAAGCCACACCAAGATTGGCAGGGAGGGTGGAGATACAAACCAGCTAGCCCCACTAGCAAGTTGTGGTTGAGAAGCGGGAGGGATATCTTGGCCATGGAGGTCCCCCCCCCCGCCAACTCCTGGGAGGAGCAAGGGACTACAGCACCATACCAGGCTCCCCAGTCTGGAGTACCAGTGCCAGGAAAAGGACCACCCACAACATCTGGCTGTGACAATCAGTGGGATTGCAACCATCCAGATGACATGGTAGGCTGTGGGAAACCCAGACGTTCTTTTAAAGGGCCAGCACACAGACTCACTTGCAGGCACTCACCTTGGGTTCTGGCAAGGGGATGTGAGTCAGGAGGCATCAGAGACATACATAGAGTGACTGAGTTGTGTAGCTTCAGGGTGAGGATTGAAGAGACAGTTGCCATTTTTCCTGTATAGAATCCTCCTCCCATGCATCCTGCAGGTGGGTGCCATCTTTCCTGTGTTGAGTCCTCCTCCACACAGCCAATCTGAATCTGCATTGGCCTGGTGAACTTTGCTAGCTCCACCCTGGTGACTCCCTGGAACCCTGCCCCACACAACTGGTGTAGCCCCAGAGGCACTTTTGCAGTCAGTTGCCAGTCCCAGCCTCACTGCACTCATTCTTGGACAACTTTTGGGGGTCTGCAGACCCCAAGTGAGCAATGGCTGGCCTCATTGTGCTCTGAGACTTTTGCTGAGTAGCTCCAGGCTCAGCACTATCACCAAACTAGAGTCTACATTAACCTGGTGAACACCATTCATCCCACCCTGGTGACTGCCTGAAAACCATCTTACCCAACTTGCCTACCACACAAGGCTCTGTCAGTGGCTGAGCCTTATGGGAGCTGGCAGATGTCAGCAGTCCTCAGGTTCCCTGGGCTTTTTAGGAGCTACCTCAGGCCCCGTACTAGTGGCAGCCATCCTCGGTTTGTAGCATGGTCTCTCCCACACAATTTAGGTCCAGCACAGGCAGTGACTGACCATGGATCACTTTGTAGCTCCTACCAGGTAGTCCCCAGCTGGTCACAGGCAGTGACCGACCTGGGCCTGCACAGAAACCACTCCCAAGAGACCCAGAACCAACATACCTGAAGTCAGCTTCAGACCACAACAGAGCACCACCCAATTAGGCCCACAAGTGGCGCATCTGAAGGATGGTCTCAGCAGACACCTGAGCCCTCTGGGGCAAATCCTGCTCCTTAGGGTAAGCACCCACACATCAGCCCAGAAGCTGTGGACTTGACCAAACCCCTCAGCCACTAAGCCTGAGGGTCAGTCCCACCCACTAATGTGTCAACAGCTACTAAGGCTGAACTACAACAGGAAGGCATACAACCCACATAAGGGACACTCCTGGAGCACCTGGTGCAGGTGATCAGGGGGAGATGTAGCAGATCTACCTAATACATAGAAACAAACACAGAGAGGCAGCCAAAATGAGGAAACAAAGAAATAGGTCCCAAATGAAAGAACAAGAGAAAACTGCAGAAAAAGAAATAAATGAAATGGAGGCAAGCAACTTACCACATACAGAATTCAAAACAATGGTTATAAGAATGCTCAAGAACTTAGTGAGAACTTCAACAGAGAGATAGCAAGCACATAAAAGGACATAGAAACCATAAAAAAGAACCAGTCAGAAATGAAGACTACAATAACTGAAATGAGGTATTCACTAGAAGGAGTCACCATCAGACTAGATGAAGCAGAAGATTAAATCAGCAATTGGGAAGACAAGGTAGCAGAAAACACCAAATTGCAACAGCAAAAAGAAAAAAGAATAAAAAAATAAGAATAGTTTAAGAGACCTAAGGGTCAACATCAAGTGTAACAACATTCACATCATAGGGGAATCAGGAGAGAGAGCAAATGACTAAGAACCTATATGAAGGGCCGGCCGAGTGGCGCATTGGTTAAGAGCTGGCTTGGGATGCCAGAGGGCCCCATTTCGGATCCCACATATGAGGGCCAGTGACACTGCCCTCTACAGCTAAGATGCTGAACAACAGCTCAACCTGGATCTGGTCTGCCGTGAGTCACCAGCGAAGGTGTAGGCTGCAGCCCCTGCTGCAGTGGGTTGCTGTGGGTTACTGTGTATAGCCAGCAGCCAGCGTGAGCGGCCAGCAGCCTCTGTGAGTGGCCGTCCAGAAGTCAGCGACTGATCTGCTTCGCCCGGGAAGAGTGCAATCAATGATGGTGCCAACTTGGGCCAGTGAAGCAACGTCCTCCACAACTAGACTGAAGAACAAAATGACAGCAACTTGTCTGTTCCTCTTGCTCCAATTTCCCAATAAAAATATATATATAAAAAAAACCTATATGAAGAAAAAAAAATGACTGAAAACTTTCCTAACCTGGTGAAGGAAATAGACATACAAGCCCAGGAAGCACAGAGAGTCCTGAACAAGATGAACTCAAACAGGCTCACACCAAGACACATTATAATTAAAATGGCAAAGATTAAAGACAAAGAGAGAATCTTAAAAGCAGCAAGAGAAAGGCAACTAGTTACTTACAAGGGTGCTCCCATAAGAGCGTCAGCTGATTTCTCACCAGAAACCTTGCAAGCCAGAAGGGAGTGGCAGTAAATATTCACAGTGACAAACAGCAAAGGCCTGCATCGAGACTACAAGGCTATCATTTAAAATTGAAGGACAGATAAAGGGCTTCCCAGACAAGAAAAAGGTAAAGGAATTCATCACCACCAAACCAGTATTACAAGAAATGTTAAAGGAACTTCTTTAAGAAGACTGAAAAAAAAGATAAAAAAGATAAATAATAAAATGGCAATAACTATTTATTTAAAATATCACTTTAAGTGTAAATGCTCCAGTGTAAACGCTCCAGTGAAAAGACATAGAGAAGCTGAATGGATAAGAAAACAAGATCGATACATGTAATGTCTACAAGAGACCCACTTCACATCAAAAGACACACACAGACTGAAAATAAAGGGATGGAAAAATATTTCATGCAAATGGAAATGAAAAACACTGTGGAGTAGCAACACTTATGTCAGACAAAATAGACTTTAAAACAAAGTCTATAATAAGAGAACAGGGGATAGCATAATGATAAAGGGGTCAATCCAACAAGAGGATATAACTCTGGTATACGTTTATGCACCCAACATAGGAGCACCTAAATCTATAAAGCAAATATTGACTGACATAAAGGGAGAGATGGACAGTAATACAATCATAGTAGGGGACTTTAACACCCCATTGACACCAATGGACAGATCTGCCAGACAGAAAATCAACAGGGAAACAGCAGCCTGAAATGACACACTAGACCAGATGGATTTAATTGATATTTTTAGAGCATTTCACTCAAAAGCAGCAGAATATACAGTTTTGTTCAAATTCACATGGAATATTTTCCAAGATAGACCACATGTTAGGCCACAAAACAAGTCTCAATAAATTTAAGAAGGTTGAAATCATATCAAGCATCTTCTTTGACCACAATTGTATAAAACTAGAAATTAATTGCAAGAAAAAAAACCCTGAAAAACACACAAACACATGTAAACTAAATAACATGCTACTAAATAATGAATGAGTCAATTGTGAGATCAAGGAAGAAATCAAAGGATACCTTGATACAAATGAAAATGAAAATACAATGACTCAAAATCTGTGGGACACAGCAAAAGCAGTTCTGAGAAGTTCATAGTAACACAGGCCTACATCAAGAAACAAGAAAAAACTCAAACAAACGATTGTTTATCTTACACTTAACCTTATAAATAACTAGAAAAAGAACAGCAGACAAAGCCCAAAGTGAGTAGAAGGAAGGAAATAATAAAGATCAGAGCAGAAATAAACAAAATAGACTTAAGAAACAATACCAAAATTAATGAGCTGGTTTTTTGAAAAGATAAACAAAGTTGATAATTATTTAAACCAACTCATCAAGAAAAAAAGAGAGAGGACTCAAATAAATAAAATCAGAAGTGAAAGAGAAGTGACAACTGACACCACAGAAATTTAAAAAAAAGGATTATATGAACAAATATATGCCAACAAATTGGACAATTGGGAAGAAATGGATAAATTTCTAGTAACTTACAATCTTACAAGATTGGATCCAGAAGAAGCAGAAAATCTGAACCAACCAATTACAACTAACGATACGGAATAAAAAAACTCCCAACAAACAAAAGTCCTGGACAAGATGACTTCACAGGTGAGTGTTACCAAACATACAAAGAATTAACACTTATCCTTCTCAAATCATTTCAGAAAATTCAAGAGGAGTAAAAGATCCCAAGCTCATT